TTTAACTGAAATGTGAGCTCCAGTGCTTGCAAAAGTTATACACATTACAATACAATACAAAAGCAAGACCATGTGATTCATTATGACGTCTTTCACGAAAAAAATATGAACTGAATCATTACACAAAGCGTGTGTGAGAGAGAAGAAAACAGAAATCACCACGACCTACCGAGTTTCATATTCTCGCTTTGTCAGCTCAATTTCTTGCTGATGTTGTATCGCAGCGGATGACCGTTGTTTCTCCAAATGTTTCATCTTAACCTCTTGAAGTTCAATGCGTTCCAATAACAGCTAACAGATAAAAATCATTGTGGAAACAGGAAATCGGAAAGACGTTTTTAGACGTTTCCTCAGAATTTAATTATATATAAACGTTATAATCTGTATAATTATTTTATACTCAATCACGACAAGATTTTATACACCAAACGATCACTTAGAGGGTGGAATGCCTTGTTGAACACTAACCTACATCCTTGCTATTGTTTGCAATTTTCTGTTAGACTAAAGTTTTGTCTACAATCAAGGATTGCAAATGAGTGCGTAGTGCTTTTTTCTCATTTCACATTGTGATTCCTTGGTCTAAAATTGAATGCCTGTTCCGCGTTTCGATTTTGGCTATCAGCAATGACATCACTTTGGAATCAATAGTTGTTTGCTTTTTCATGAAATAACCAATTTCACATTCCCTTTTCGAAAAGAGAGCTATGATCAATGAATTGAAGTTAGGGCATTAATAAAATTCGGTATTTTGTGTGGAAGTAGTAGGTTTGAACACGTTACTGTCGAGGGGAAGTGATAGTGACCTAAGAATTATTTATCTGAACTTTTACCATACAGTAAATGCAGTTGAACAACCACTAACCAAACACCTGTGTGCGATGGGTTTTTTTACTGTCTTAAGATTACTCATATGTATAAAGTGCAGAACTTTCATTATCAGTAACTATTACTTAGCAAATTATCAGGGTATGGTAACAAACGTTGAAAAATCTCCGCAATTTCGCTTCTATTTTGATACTTTGCTCTATTATTGGTACATGGGTAACTCCTAAGACCTAAGAATTCATCTTCTCTCAATTCGGTACACGTGTCCGAAGAGAGAAAGGAAGAGGGAGTAATTAGTGTACTTGTGCCCATATGCGCGCTGTATTGGTATGCTGAGTATTATCCAAACTGATTACAATCTTCTCACAGTTGAACTAGACTAAACTTTTGGCAATGGAGGAAATAAAGTAAATCAATAACGGGATATCATGTAAAGAACAGAGAAAAATTCGACTAGGAATTTCCGGTTACTTCTGTAGTTTTCTTGATCTTGCGGGTTCTGTTGATTCGATGCAGCTCTGAACCTGAAAGTTAGGTAATCGGAACAGCTTCGCTATGATATGCAGTTTTCAATTTTTCTGTATGCACAACGCAATACTTCGTTCACTGAACTCTCTGGAATTAAACAAAGTGTTGGTGGTCTATTCGGAACTGAGACTTTGAAAGCAGCTCACAGTGATCTAGTTTTCTTAGAACAAGTTGCACAAATGCCCATCATTTCTAATGATGAATAACATTATTCAGACAAAAACAAATTACCAAAAGCATTCATTTTCTTTATTCATGAGTCCAACAATAAAAATAATACCCACCTGAACAAACGTTCTTAGCCGACTGATTACATTCTGCGGAGTTTCGTTGCTCAGATTTGTGCAGGTTTCATCGGTCAGTGAGGGATTTTTCAAATTACATTCTTCTAAGAGTTGTCGGCATTGATTGAATACTCCATTGAACATAATAATTTCTTGTGATGCCTTTTTCAATCTCTCGATCAGTTCACAGGTTAGCTTTACAAGGGAAAAAAATAAAATAAGGATGCATATTTAAACAGATAGATGTAAATTAAAGGGTATTTATCAATGCAAAGAGTGTCACAAGGATAAATATATAAAAGATATGCTTCACATTTTCTGCACATGTCCTCCTGCTCGGATGAGATGACACGTAGATTTATTCTTTGAAAATCCATTCTTGAGGAGTTCGTTTTTTCTCTCTGAATGTTAATTCGATCATTATCAGCATGCATACAACCGACTCTTTGTGCTACTTATCTTATTTTTCCACACATGTGAGACTTATCTATCACGCTCGAATAACAACCACACGGGCCTTTGTTTGTTTGTTCACTGCCATAGTACCGCACTTAGTGTTACCGCCAATCTACCCCTAAATTTCCCAATTTAATTTGAATAAAGATAGCCTACAAGTGATTCTTCTGTTGATGGTTAGGCGGATTTGATGTTTGATGCGGTAAATATTCACCGAGATAAACTGAAAAAGGTAAATAAATAAGAAAATTAGTAACCACATATCAAAAATAATTCTACTAAATCTTCACCTATCGGCAGGTAATAGGACTGGTTAAGATTCGTGGACGCAGAGTACAAACATTGAAAAAGCTTACAAAACGAAATAGGGATAATTGCCTGTAGCTCCGAGTAAAACTTGATTCCTCTATTTTCATGATTTTTTGAAATTTACACATATCGGACAACTGTCAACCTTGTAATTATTTTAAGGAATTATCAGGTGAATAGTTGATACGAAAAAACAGCGATGCCACCAATCCCAATTTACTTACATCCTCTTGCTTCAAGTTTGTGGTCAGAACCCGACAAATAGTGTTCTCTATATGTCCCAATGTGGCGTCAGATAGAACCACACTACCAGTTTTCGTGGTTGACAGCTCATTTTTTCCAAACAATGCAATGTTGAGACTGTCACGAATATTTTCGACCATATCATCCAAATGACTTGCTTTTTTTGCTAAGCAAGAAACATAAGGCAGTATGAGGAGACTGATGGATTTACATGCACATCAATAGGAGCTGCACCAGTACGAAAATTTTAACGTTGTAAAAATCAAAAGTGAACTATACTTAAACAAATATATAATCTTCATATTGGCAACTAACTTTTGTCCATATGCTGTTCCTATGTTGTCCATTTGAAAACCACTTGTATGACTTGAAGTTATCTTTTGTGGATTAGCCACCACTGATCACAAAAAGGTTGAATAAATTTGTTTTATATAAGTTGTAATTTTGAAAACATTGATGTCGGTACAGGTGAATACAAACCGACGTTTCGGTTACCGTGGGTAACCTTTATCAAGGCGATTTTACAGTCGAATGCATTCGATTGTAAACCAACTGTCCTTCAATATTTTGAATAAGATACATTCATGATTGAAAAACTTGTAAACATGCATGGTGGACTTTTGCAACTGATGCGGTGTAACTCATTGTTTCTTTTATTTGACAATCTGTATGATAAACAGCAGATTGGGTGAACCCCATAGTCGAGAAGACCTGCTATTCTGCAATGGAAACCGGCAGTCTAAGCCCCGGGAGATATGGAGTGGTGAATCGTATACGGCTCCGCTAGGTTGTGTCGCATTGAACCGGACAAAAGCAAAGCTATCTCTTCTGTCTAGATTTTAAAGTTTTCGTCACCTATTGAGGTAGCATTTTCAATGCAGCAAGCCCACACACAACAGAGTTAATAAACTCATCATTTCCATCTCCCATTCGATAATGTGATCTATCTTACGAATACACCTCTGTCTCTGTGCAGTGTGAGCAAACACCACGTGTAATCGCGATCTCTGAACACGTATTCTCAACACTTATCCAAGCCCTGGGAGACGACATAAAGAGACGATCACTTAGAAGAGCGGGTTTTCGAAACCCAACATCGACCAACAAACTCGTGTTACTTCTAAATAACGCGACTGATTGGATAACAGTACCAATCATTGAAACATAAACAGATTAAAATCCAATTGGCTAGGTTTAAGACCTATACAATAATTCCTCCTACACTGTACACCCGGTTTTAACAGTCGGGGTGGTGCTCTGCCTACACTAGAGATGTTTTAAGCTGGAGAAGGCTGGGCACGCAATCCTTGCTAACATCGAGATGTGCCTACACAAAGTTCCATCAATCGTGACAGCTTTCGGGATAACCAATCATTGACTTTATTTACCTATTCAGCACCTAACATGAGTGCAGAAAACAATTGCTATCAGCCTTAAATATTTACATTCAAGTTGAAAGCAAACAGCGAATTATGTATCAAGTTAACTCAATCACCAAA